AGGAGAAGGAAAACTCTGATTTCAACCACCTGCTACTTTTTAGGTCCTCCTAAGTTCCGAGATGAGGGGACGAGGTAACCTCAACATCCCCGGTGCAAAACGAACCGGCAAGCCATTGTACTATTCCACCTTGGATGTCACCATGAACCACAATTGTTGACCGCAGCGGTCCAAAATCCGCTAACCGAATAAAATGAAATAAAACTAATCTGTCTTATGAGGTTGTGCGAGGTTCAGAAACTTTGGAAGCATGATTATCACATAACAGAAACAATCCCACGTGTGACGATAAACTACATCCGGCAGCCAGACCTCTGATCGGGATGTTTTGTAGAGCGTGGAACTACCTCTTAATTGCTATTGTTCCCACATCCACCCTGACCCGGGGTGGTAGCACTTGTTAGGAGAAATAGTAACCCTTCAAATTGAGTTTAAAAAAAAAGTAATGGATAATGTTTTCGCAATACTAATGAAGTGGAGTAATAGATAAGCTCGGATTGAGGAATCGGAGAGCTGAGTTCGAATCCAGTCGAATCCATTATATTCACTTGTGTGCTAAATACCCTTTGAAAAAGTATGAATCCTCTTCTCCTCACTCCAACCAGTTAAATAGTAGGACAGACCCCGGGTTCTATAGCCTTGGATGGTAACTGGTCTACCGCAGAAAGAAATGGCAGCCTACTGCGGGAAAAAAAATCTGCCTCTTAAAAAAAGCTGTGAAAGTATAAAAATACATGTTCATAGTAAAAAAATACCCGCAACAGCTTTTAAAAAATAACCATAAACTCCTAAGAAAATTAACGATTTCGGCATTAAATAACCCATAGATGTTGATATGTCGCTAAACAAAATCAATCAGCCAACAAATATATACATGCACGAAAGCTGAGTATCATTTACCATGTATTCAATTGTGAAAGCAGAATAATATAACATATTTTAATTACTTCAAATCTTCCAAGACAATTAAATTTCGACATTAAATTACCAATAAGGTGTTTATATGCTGTTAAACAAAGAAACAGAACATAACAGAAAGAAACCAATAAACACCTGATATCTAAAATCAACGGTCAGCTTAATTGGCATGACATCAATAAGAACGTAGTTATGAATCGTGATGCAGGTGAAAATGATCTTGATGCCAGGTATCCACACCTTGGACGTTTTCAAATTCAGGTTGAGAAAGTATCCATACATACGCACGCTGCCTTGACTGATGAATCGATTATCTTTCATAATCTGAAAAAAAAAAAAAGAAAAAAAAAAAAGAGAAGTTATTTTTTAAACAATTATATTTAACAACAACAACAAAAAAATCCCCGACGCTTTTTCTAATTGTCGTCAGTGGTACAAGATTACTCTGTAAATTTAATTATAAAAAGAAAAAAAAAAGATTAAAAATTTTGGAGGTTCTTCACATCAAAAGACGACATTCCGTCATCATTGAAATTTGTTTTAATCTCGTATTAAAATTTTGAATCGTTTTCCCTTATATCTATTTTTCCTACTTTCCAGAATATTTCTTTGTTGGAAATGTTATCAGTCAAAATTCTGCTTTTGTTTTATACAACTATTATTTTTTACTATTTGTACAACACGTTCCCAACAAGCCACTCAAGGTAAAGCGTTACTGAGTGCAGTTGTTATAAAGTATTAAAAGCAAGAAGTGAATATTATGATGATTATGACATTAAGATTTTAAGGATCGGGGAAATATTCTCTCGGGAGTTTGTTCCATGAAGTAACTGCACAGAAGAAATCCACTTACCTTAAAAAAGGCTGAGGGGTGTCAGCCTTCCGATGCCAGTGGCTGCATGACACAAAGAAAAACGGGTAGACTAATACCGTCATTTTTAATAGAAAGTGGAAGTTGATGGAATAGCTCGGATGGGCTACACACGGGGTTGATGAGATAACGCGAATGTGCTGGCTACGGATTTAGTGTACCTGCCTTCGAACGCATATAAACTCAATGGCAGTAAACAAGAGGGGGTTAGAGGAAGCCGTCGAGGTGGAAAGTAGATTTGCGGCTATTTGGACGTACGGATCTGTGAATTCTTGACAGTTTGCAAAAGTTATAGGGAAGAAGGGTCTTAATAGAACTTCCTCCTTACTTATGGAATACGAAGCAAATGAGTCCTAGCTGTGAAGGTCTGAACAGGTTGAAAATTTACCGTGTAACAAGCGATAGAACACCAAGAGACAAGCAACGTTACACAAGGCAGAGTTGTTGTGCCCATAAAGAAATACATAAATGTCCATAAAATAAAAAAATAAAAAAAATGATAGTGTCAAAATTAATTATAATAAAATAATTATAACAATTATAAGTATCATCATTTTCCTCTTTTTAAACCGATGAGAATCGACCCCACTTTTCTCCTCCATGCATAAACATGTGACATTCTCACTATCAGACAATCAGTCAACAAAGACAGGCTGTCAACACGTATGTCAACAAAAATTTCGGCTCCTTTTTCTTTTTCAGACCATAATAGTAAAATTTATCTCTTAGCACTCAGCAAAAATTTGAGGTAAGAAAACCATAAATTATTGTATCTGGAGTATACTCCAAACTCACTTGCAAATCATTGTCGTGACATCATCGATATTGACGTGGAACCTAACAGCTAGAAATTAAATTTTCCTTGACACTATCCGCAAAGCTACTGCCTCCTGGTTACCACGTTTACAACTTTGTGTTGAACATTCAGGCAAAAATTTCGAAAGTCTACGATGATTGTTCTGTCCGGGAATGAATTATGATAGCTAAATAAATATATTTCTGAATTTATCGTTTTTTTTTTTTTTTTTTACTACGCACCCTATATATATTAGGGGTAGAATCTCTGACTGATACCAAATCGGTCGGGTTTCGATCCCGGCTTGAAGCAATTGGACGTCCAGCCACACTGAAGAGCTGTGATACACCGAAACAATCTGTATGTGGCTGACAATATATATGTTCCCGCGAAATCCGTTTGGGCTCACTTGAGAAAACAGTAATTTTAAAAACAATGGCTCATACGCTATTAACTCATTGTTCTTCAACCGAATTGAATTGAGATTTCTGGGCCACTGACGTATAGAAACTTTAAAATTCTCCTTCTTCTCTACTGTGCGACGATAGCCTACGGGTAGAATATCTGACTGATACCAAATCGGTCGGGTTTCGATCCCGGCTTGAAGCAATTGGGCGTCTAGCCACACTGAAGAGCTGTGATACACCGAAACAGTCATGGCAGCACTACTTTCCCAAATGAGATGGTTTAACAGAACAGAATCTATAAAAATAGGAGATCAAAGGTCGAGGGAGGGTTTCTGCACTTTAAGCTGGAATTCTCACACTGTGATGGAAAACAGACAACCGTGTAATATTGTGCAGCGTTGCTGGAACGCCCTCTCGCCGTGCTATCAAATACTGAATGTACTGCTTCTGGTGACACAGTAGTAGATTTATAGTTACACACGTTCGCGCATCTCAGGTATGTTTGAAAAATAACGGTGTCACTGGTGTCACAAACAATTTATTTCAATTTCAAACAACAAACTACATAGTTTCCTATTCAAAGTAATCCCTCATGAGTCTAATACACTTCTCCATACTTCTTTGCCACGCTTCTATTTGCTGCTGGAAGGATTCCGTCAGCTACGTTGTTACGGCCATCCTGATGGTTTTTTAAAAATCCGTATCACCCCGTGCAAGGCTGTAAAGCCATTAAGACACAAGGGGTTACAGGGTGTGGAAGAATTAGAGACAGAAATACTATATAATGAGCGAAAAAATAGTAATCAGGAGGATAGTAGATAGCGATTGACATTGCACTTAAATTTTTGTAGGTTGGAAAGCATGGAGCCAGAAGGGAGTTCCACAAGCGAAGAAAAGAAACTGTTCTCGTTAATGTGCCGTCTGCACGTGAATTTTTCGCCTTTCACCAAGTACATCATTTTGCCAATCCGCTTTTCTATTTTTTCCAATTTCCCAGAATGATTTATTCTGTTTATAGACCTTAAAGCATACTTTTTCACCAGGATTCTATTTTTTACTTGAATAAATTTTTCTCTACCTGGCTTTGTCTTTTTTGGTAATAATTTGTCGAAGACAGATCATACCCGACGTGCGAACATCACCTCGGCTGGCGACTGTGAGGCTGGTGTTCCGTTATCTGGGGTAATTCTGTATACCTGTAGAAACTTCTGTAGGACTTCATCTGCAGGTATTTCCCTAGCTTTCTTTAGAACTCTTTTTAGGGTGGGGTCACAGTTTCTGTAGGTTCTTCTTGTGGTTCTATTTGTTCAGTCTCTAGCTTCCCTTTTGTCGATCTTGTGCTTCTTAACGTTTTCTGTGGTGACTTCAGTTGACTTAAATCATTTAATAATACTGCGGGTAACTCGCTCCCCAGTTTTTCTCGGTGTCGGCTTCATCTTTACTTTCTGGGGCTTTTTTTCACGTATACCGTCGGTGTTGCCCATTCACTATACTCAACTTTTTTTAAGTACACCGGTTTTCTCTAATCTGTTCAATTCTTTATCTATCTGTTCAAGTGAGGCAAACGGCACATTCCTTTTCTTTTTGAATACCGCCCGAGCGTTTTCTTTTAGCTGGAATTTTGCCTCCATCTTGGTACACGTTCCCAACCCTAGAGAAAAAACAGTAGGAAATGTTTCCTTAAGTTTCTTTACTAATTTTTGGGCTTCGTTGTTTAAACTTTATACCTTGTAACAGAAGGAATTTATCAGTAGAGTAATCTTGTTGTGGTCGCTGACTACTTTCGTATTCGACTAACTGTCGACTACTGTCGTCCGACATCGAATGACCCTCGTTTCTCTTACTACTCCTACTTATATTAGGTGGGAGGGTCTATTAACTATAGAATAGGTGTGTTTCAACATAACAGTGTAATATGTTTGTGTGTGTGTGTGTGTAATATAGAGAATTTCTTACCAGGTAGTAAACCATTTTCAACGTGTCTGTACTTTCAATGAGAATATTTAGGTCATCTCCGGCCTTCAATGAAGAAAGAAAATATATGTAATGTTAAACAATTGATAAAAATGAGTGAAAACGGATATAGATATATGCAAAAGGGGATATTATATAAACAAGGGAAAAGGAGAGATGAAACATAAAAGGAAGAAAGAGGCGGAAGAATGAAAATGATAATATAAAAAAACAGGCGAGAATAAAAAGGAAATGGAGAAGAAGAAGACGAAAGTATACAAGAAAAAGAGGGCGAAGAATGAAGTTGATAATAATAATAATAATAATTAATAGTGAGAAGAAAAAGAAGAAGAAGAAGAAGACGAAGGTAGCCAAGAAGAAGAGGGCGAAGAAGGATAATAATAATAATAATAATAATAGTGAGAAGAAAGACGTCAAAGAAGGATAATAATAATAATAATAATAGTAGTAGTAGTAGTGAGAAGAAAAAGATGTAGGAGAAGAAGAACGTAGCCAAGAAGAAGAACGTAGCCAAGAAGAAGACGTCGAATAATAATAATAATAATAATAATAATAATAGAAAAAGATGTAGAAAGAGAAAACGAAGATACGCATGAAGATCAACAACAACAACAACAACAACAATAATAATAATAATAATAAGAAGAAGAAGAAGAAGAAAAAGAAGAAGAAGAAGGAGAAGAAAAGGAGATGTAGAAAGAAAAGACGGATTTATTAAAGAAGACGCTGTAGTCGGAAAATAAAAATATTAATAATCATAATAATTATAACCTCACATCACTTTCTTGGTCTGCCGCTCTATCTCTCAATAATAATGATAATAATGTTGAGAAAAGAAAAGATGAGAGAGAGAGAGAGAGAGAGAGAGAGAGAGAGAGAGAGAGAGAGCATAATAGCTAAAAAGTCTATCAGCCGTATTTCAATTCGTTTTGACACGTTGGTTACCAATTTTTCCAAGACAAGCGATATTTGTACAAAACTTATAATTTTAGTCATTTTAAAAGTATTTTTATACTTGTAAAAAAGTTTTTTCAAACATAACTTGAAGAAGACAGACATACTATCGAAATATTATTAAACACTGTCCAACACTGCGTCTTTTCTTTTCTTTTTCTTAAATAGCGTTCTTAGCTAAGTGTTTTGTAATAATAATAATAATAATAATAATAATAATAATAAAAAACTATCAAAAAACAAGGGCCTTGAAATGGAAATCTCAAAAGATGTGGCACATTAGGACATCAACTATTCCAATTGTCGTTGGAGCCCTCTGGTTAACTAGAAAAGATTCCGATAGACTCATTGAAGGGATTCCTCATGCATTAAAGAAATACCAAAACTGTTTAGTACAGCCCACATCTTACAAAGAGCTTTATCTACATACAATGTGTATGATCTTATATTGTTTTCAAAATTTTTTAGTGGAAATGTCTTGATGGTATCTGTGACCTTAGGTTTCTGTTTGGAACCCGGCAACTAATACGTATACACCATAAATCAAAAGGAATATAATAATATAATAATAATAATAATAATAATAATAATAATAATAATAGGGAAAAGAAGATGTAGACGAAAAGACAAATTAACCCACGAAGACAGACGAATTCAAGGACACATGGCACAGTGGATGAAGGCGTTAGTTAGAACCAATGACAGGACCTAAAGAGTGTGAGTTCAATACCTGGTTAAGGCAGTGGAGAACTTTCAGAGGAGAATTAACAAGAGATAAATGATGACTGACATCCATTAGACATGGCATGTGGAACATGAACAGTCTACCCCAGCGAGCGAAATAAAGGGTTCAGTTCGACATTCCAACCACCTGAAGAAGGCGGCAAAGATGAGGACAATAGTCCGAATAATGTAAATAGTGAGCATTTTTCTATCTGTGGGAATTCATTCACACAATGAAACAACCGATTTTGGAACAATTTTTCTCGCTCGAATGCTTTCTTACGCAATGCATTCCAGACATCTTACGCAATAGATTCATCTTCCAGACATCTTACGCAGTACAACTATCTTCTGGACATCTCAAGGTAGACATCCATCTTACAGACATATTACGCATTACTTCTCGACATCTTTCGCAATACATCTATCTTCCGGACATCGTAACGCAGTACATCTACTTTCCAGACATCGTACGCAATATATCCATCTTCCGGACATCTCAGGGTAGACATGAATCTTGCGGATATCTTACGCAATATATACACTTTCCGCACATCGTACGCAATACATCCATGTATCGAATATCTTAAACAATACGTCTATCTTTCAGACATCTCACGGTAAGCATCAATCTTCTGGACATCTTACGCAATACATCTATCTTCTGGGTATGTCGCGGTAGGCATCCATCTTCCGGACATCTTCCGCAATGCATCCATCTTCCGGACATCTTACGCAATACATCCTTCTTCCGGACATCTCGTGGTAGGCATCCATCTTCCGGACATCTTACGCAATACATCCATCTTCCGGATATCTCGCGATAGGCATCCATCTTCAGACATATTACGCAATACATCCACATTCCGGACATTTTGGACAACGTACGAAATACTTCCATCTTCCGACAACTCACGGTAGTCATCCATCTTCCTGACATCTTACACAATGCATCCGCATTCCGGATATCGTACGAAATACATATATCTTCCGGACATCTTATGCTGAACATCCATCTTCCGGACATCTAACAGTAGGCATCCATTTTCCTGATATCTTACGCAATGCATCCACTTACCGCACATCATACGCATTACGCATTATCTTCCATTTATCGAACATCTTACGCAGTACGTCTATCTTTTTCACGGTAGGCATCCATCTTCCGGACATCCTACCCAATACATCCATCTTCCGGGCATCCTACACAATACATCCATCTTCCGGACATCCTACCCAATACATCCATCTTCCGGGCATCCTACCCAATACATCCATCTTCCGGACATCCTACCCAATACATCCATCTTCCGGACATCCTACCAAATACATCCATCTTCCGGACATCCTACCAAATACATCCATCTTCCGGTCATCTTACGCAATACATCCTCCTTCCGGACATCTTGTGGTAGGCATCCATCTTGCGGACATCTTACGCAATACATCCATCTTCCGGATATCTCGCGATAGGCATCCATCTTCAGACATATTACGCAATACATCCACATTCCGGACATTTTACGCAATGCATCCACCTTTTGGACAACGTACGAAATACTTCCATCTTCCGACAACTCACGGTAGTCATCCATCTTCCTGACATCTTACGCAATACATCCGCATTCCGGATATCGTACGAAATACATATATCTTCCGGACATCTTATGCTGTACATCCATCTTCCGGACATCTAACAGTAGGCATCCATTTTCCTGATATCTTACGCAATACATCCACTTACCGCACATCATACGCAATACATCCATTTATCGAACATCTTACGCTGTACGTCTATCTTTTTCACGGTAGGCATCCATCTTCTGGACATCTCATGCAATACATCCATCTTCTGGACATCCTACCCAATACATCCATCTTCTGGACATCTCATGCAATACATCCATCTTCCGGGCATCCTACCCAATACATCCATCTTCCGGGCATCCTACCCAATACACCCATCTTCCGAACATCCTACCCAATACATCCATCTTTCGGACATCCTACCCAATACATCCATCTTCCGGGCATCCTACCCAATATACCCATCTTCCGGACATCCTACCCAATACATCCATCTTCTGGACATCCTACCCATTACATCCATCTTTCGGACATCCTACACAATACATCCATCTTCCGGACATCCTACCCAATACATCCATCTTCCGGGCATCCTACCCAATATACCCATCTTCCGGACATCCTACCCAATACATCCATCTTCTGGACATCCTACCCATTACATCCATCTTTCGGACATCCTACACAATACATCCATCTTTCGGACATCCTACCCAATACACCCATCTTCCGAACATCCTACCCATTACATCCATCTTCGGACATCCTACCCAATACATCCATCTTCCGGACATCCTACACAATACATCCATCTTCCGGACATCCTACCCAATACATCCATCTTCTGGATATCCTACCCATTACATCCATCTTCTGGACATCCTACCCATTACATCCATCTTCCGGACATCCTACCCAATACATCCATCTTCCGGACATCCTACCAAATACATCCATCTTCCGGGCATCCTTACATTCTTACTCTCCATCATATTCCTTTCTCAATATTGATTTAATAGTGATATACTTACATAGCACACTGATCTTTTCAGGGTGGTTTTTATATATTGATTTGAAACTGCCTGGAACATTCTTATATAAATATCTCTAACGAGTGTGTAGTGGCATTCTTGGTACTGACCATAGTAGTATATCTACAACATATAAAGAAATCAGTAACAATAAATAAAAGTTTAATTGCAAGTATCATCAGATAGTTCAACTTATTTTAACAGTAATGCAAAAATAATATAAAATAATATGCTCTGTAATATATTGATACTTTTTCTGTTTGTGTTTGCAATTTTTTTAACATAAAACAGCAAATCGTAGCGAGATGTCTGTTAACGCATAAAAATGACTGGGTAATCTTCGGCTGGAAAAAAGTTTTATGTATTTGTCGAATTGAATTTTTTTCCAAGTACGAGACAATATATGAACACCACATTTCAGTCTCTTCATCTTTGAGAAGATTATCAAGCATTGACTGTCATATAGAAGGACGATTCTATATAACAATTCAGTAGTCTTTTCTTTGGATATCTTTTCTAAGGATATTTTTCTGTTTCTTAATACTTTGCTCAGCTTTTGGAAGGCATAATACGAATGGAAAATCGTGTATATCAAATCGAAAAATTAAAGTGCCCCAATAAAAATTATAAAATTTCCGTGTCTTGACCTATTTTGGCCATGTGGCTCTAGGTTGGAAAACACTGGCTTAATGTATCCAGTGTGTCTCAAAACATATTGATTAGATAGTAACTATCGTATTCAGTTTAAACTCGTTCTAAGCAATGTACAGTAATAAAAGTCTTCATTTACTTACTGTTAACCTGCTGAAGTATTTACGGGGTAAGCCAATATTCACAACACCATCCAGTGGAATGCAATATAACTTCGAGTAAATTTCATTGTTGCCAGTAAAAGTGACGTTCAGTTTATGCTTGACATCATCCCATGTTAATGGCTTGCCATCTACACGCTTGACGTATATCTGGAATCAACAACGAATTCAGCACAATGTAATCTTCAGAGACTCGGCGTTACATAATTTTATTAATTAAAACTGATACATTCAATGCCGGCACAGTTGGTATATTATACAAGGATTACTGGGTTTTTTTAAAAAATGTTCTAATTAAAATAGATGGGAGTTATTTAAAGTAAACGGAAATTAAACCTATTAAAAATATTAATTAAAATAAACGGACCTAAAACTATAAAAAATATTATTTAAAATAAATGGGATTTATATTTTTATATTTAAAATAAACGGAAATTAAACCTATTAAAAATATTAATTAAAATAAACGGACCTAAAACTATAAAAAAATATTATTTAAAATAAATGGGATTTATATTTTATATTTAAAATAAACGGAAATTAAACCTATTAAAAATATTAATTAAAATAAACGGACCTAAAACTATAAAAAAATATTATTTAAAATAAATGGGATTTATATTTTCTCGCTAACTCATGCAGAAAATGAACGATATGTGTTCCCGGGCTGCCAGCTGAGGAGCTCTTTGCACTCAAGAAGTGCATATATGGGCCTTTAACTAAGTTAAAACTTTATATTTCAGTTTCAACACTGAGTGCCTTGCACGTTGTTCTTGGACTTCTTGTAAACTGCTAGTTTGTCTTTTATGTGTGTGTATTTGTGTGTATGTGGGTGTGTGTATTAGTGCGCATGTAATAGGAGTAGGTAGGCTTTCCTATCGCCTGGTCAATACCCCACCCTTCTCTTGAACAAGAGTAGAGGCTCACCCCTTGTTTCTTGTTTAGGGAGGGGTTTCTGAAACATTTCCTTTCTTTCTCTCTGGCCTCCGTAGCAGTACTGTCGTGATTCTCCTGTGATGTGTGCAAGTCTCTGGCAACGCCTCTTCATCCTGATGGCACCGGGTTGACAGTTTTCTGGTTGCTGTTCCCGACTGGTAGTTAAGAGCTCTAACTCTTGCGTAGTGTCTTGGTCTGCCGCTCTGATCAACAGTTGTATCATATCTGGGTGTCTGTAGTGCCATGTCGCGCATAGAAGTATGTGCCTGCACGCACCTCCGGTGGGCAACCCTAAGGCCACACTATGTTGCCTGCTACGCTTGCTCCTTCCTGCCCTTGTCACATACGATCACCGTCTGCTACTTCTACATCAGGCCTTCTCATTTTCACTACCAACATTACCCAACATGACAACAAATGATCAAAAAAGTAAACCTAAACCAGCTCTAAATAAATCACCTAAACCCTTTAACATTTCCTTTTTTAACATCCGTGAACATTGAAACCAAATTCTGCAATGTGGAATCGATCCTCTTTGAGAAGTCTCCTGATATACTGGCTCTCTGCGAGACCAACCTTAACTCGTTTATCCCCTCCTTTGACCTCTCGATCCCCAGTTACCTTTCTCTCCTTAGAAAAGACTCTCAAACACACGGCCTTGGAGTTTACGTCAAGCACCACCTCCCACTGGCTAGGGAGCTCTTTCTCGAATATCCAGACCATTCATATATGTGTTTCCGTCTATCTCTCCTCAATGCTGTAAGCTACCTCTTCTTCCTCTATCGATCTCCATCCTCCCAAGACTGTGGTGCACTCGATAGCATTTCTGTCAATATAGATAAGGCTATCTCTCTTCATCCGTCTGCACATATATTAGTGTTCGGTGATTTTAACGCCCACCATACCAAGTGGCTTAAAAACATTTTATATCTGACCTTGCTGGCATACAAACCCTTACGTTTTCAATTACTCAATCCCTCACACAAGTGGTTGACTTTCCCTCACGTTTCTCCAATAACCAGGACGGTAAGGCTTCCCTTCTCGATCTCTGTTTCACTGCCATCCCCGGGTTTTGTCGTGACACACAGCTCTGCCCTCTTGGTAACTCTGATCATGCTCTAGTGTCTGTCAACAAAGAACTTCCTACCAACAAAACACTGACTGGGACTCGTTCCGTTATTTCCTTTGCGATGCCCTCTGGAATGTGATCTATAATCTCCCCGTTCAGGAATTCTCTTTCGAGGTCTCCTCCTGGGTAAAAGCTTTCATCCCCGCAAGGAAATATAAGGTTAAATCGCGCTCATCCTCTTGGTTCTCTGCTGCTTGCTCAGCTGCCACTGTACGTAGGAATCACTTCTTCCGCCTGTACCGTAGTGATATGTCAGACCGCAACAGACGTCCCTGTTTCAGCCCGTAATGAGTGCAAGCGTATCCTCAATGAAGCAAAGTCACTATTTGCTGATAGAATGAAACAACGTATTGCATCTCGCAAATTCGGTTCCGAAGATTATTGGCGTCTCTGCAAGAGCGTACTAAACAACAGCAAACCCGCAATACCTACTTTATTCAACCAATTTGACGTCGTGACTTTCTCAGCTGATAAGGCCTAGTGCTTTGATCGGAAATTCTCATTCAATTCAACGCTCGACTCGTCCGGTGTATCCGCGCCCGATTTTCCCCATCCCACCCTAGAACTGAGGCTCTATTGAGCGAGTTGCGCATAACCTCATCGTTGGTATTGGGTAACATCTATAAGTTAGACTCCCATAAGGCTAACGGTGGGGACGGGATACCAGCCGTTGTCCTGAAGAAATGTGCTTCTGAACTGGCTCCTGTCCTCTCCAAACTATATAACTACTGCCTCAACGACTCTTGCTTTCCAGCCTGTTGGAAGTCCTCATCTGTTGTGCGTGTATTTAAAAACTCTGGAGACCCTTCTGACCTATCTAACTACCGTCCTATCAGTCTCCTACTACTCTTCGGCAAAGTATTTGAATCTTTAATCAACGCCGAAGTGGTTAAGCACCTTACATCCCATGATCTGCTCTCTGACACACTATATGGTTTCTGCTTTGCTCGATCTACAGCTGATGTGCTCACGGCCAGAACTGAATTTGTTTACCAAGCACTTCACAATAACGGAGAAGCTCGTGCCGTGGATCTAGATATCTCTAAAACGTTTGATAGGGTATAGCATGCCAACCCCCTTTGTAAGCTTCAGGGATACAGTATTTCAGAATGATTATTTGACTTAATGCAATCATTCTTGTCAAACCGTGTAATGAAGGTCGTCCTAGACGGATTCTTCTCCAGTTCCTTTCTCACGAACGCAGGTGGTCTCCAAGGCTTTCTTCTGGATCCTAGACTGTTCCTTATCATCATTAACGATCGTCATCAGTTCCCAAGTAGGAATCTATGCAGACGACACCACTATTTACTCCTACTTCAAAAGCAAATCTGGTATCGCTGACAAAACTAACCTGGCTGTTGATTTCGAAAAGGACCTCCAATCGGTTGCTGACTGGAGCAGGAAATGGCTGGTTAACTTTAATGCCTCAAAAACGAAACTCTTCTCTATTACCCACCACAGTAACCCCCCTGCCTTCCATTAGATTGTCTGATGCTCAACTCCACAAAAGCACCTCTTTGTGACTGCTTGGTCTCACACTCTCCGCTGGCCTGAGATGGAACAATTACATTGAATCAATTCCTTCATCTACCGCAAGGAAATTTGTGTCGCGCCAGAAAGTTTTTCTCGTCCGAACCCATCCTTCAAATGTATAAATCAACCATTCGTCCTTGCATGGAATACTGCTGTCATATATAGTCTGGGGCCCCCGCTGTTCGTCTTAAGGTCCTCGACAAAATCCCGAGACGGATATGCAATGTGGTTGGCCCTGATCTGGCATCTCGTTTATAGTCACTTCCCTCTGCCTTTTCTACGAATACTTTCACGTTAACTGCTCCGACGAGCTACTTTCGCTAGTTTCCAAACTGCATGACTTTAAACGAGCTACTAGGTTGGCATCCCAGTCCCACCCTTTCACTGTCGAAACGGTTAAACGTAGTCATCTCTTCTACTCCAATAGCTTCATGTCTCGCACTTCCCGTCTGTGGAACTCCTTCCTCTTACTTGCTTCCCGGATAGCTATAATCTCCAACTATTCAAATGCAATATCAATCGACATCTCCAGATGCCTAATTCCCCGTCCTTCTCTTCATCCTTTCCTCTATCACGCACTTTTACTCATGCTCCCACACTCTGTAACCCCTTGCATGCTAGTGGCACTACCGCCTTGTTTGGGGTGAGATGCTTAATTTTTTTTAAAGCTATTAAATAGATATTCATTAAAATAAACAGACCTAAAACTATAAAAATTATTATTTAAAGTAGATGGGATTTATATTTTATATTTAAAAAAATAAATGTTATATTTAAGATAGACGGGATTTATGTTTTATATTTAAAATTGACGGGAATTAAAGGTTTTATTTTATATTTAAAATAAACGGGAATTAATTGTATTAAAGAAGAAACGATCGAGAAAGAGACTGGTTAAATTAAAGATCACGAAGGAAAAAATTATCACAAAAACATTCTTGAAGTGATCAACTTTCTCGATATGACCTTGGATTTGAATACTGGTTTTTACTAACCGTATACCAAAGATCTACATAGATACATTAAAAATGAATCCAATGAAACCACCTACTCTTTTAACTAATTTATATAAATCCGTCCGATTTAGTTTATCTACCAACTCCAGCAATAATGGAAAATTTGATAATAATAAAATTAAATATATAAAATCATTAGAACTAAGCAACCATAAAGTATATATAGCTAGACAATCTTGTTTCCCGTGCATTTACAAATTTCATTATTCATATTTACAAATTTCATTATTCTCTTTGGTCTAAAACTTGTTTATATATATATATATAGAGAGAGAGATAGAGATTTCAAAAATATAGTTTTAAGGTATTCTATATTTATGGCAAAAAATGCTCAATATTAGAGATGAAGAGTATATAAATAAAATATAGAAGACTGAGTTCAATATCATGTGTTTACCTGGAAAGATGTTAATAAGAATTGTTGAAATTAATATATGCAAAGTTTCACAGTTCTAGCATCATTCTTCACTATTAGCCTATAAACTTTTCAGCCCACCTCAATATATTAAAAAAAAAAAAAACTTCTTCGATTGAATGGTCAAAAATTAAAGTCATGTTACTCACAGTGATCTCATTGCACATTCCCGGTTTCATTGCAAAACTGTAAGGAGCTTCGATTTTTATTGGTGCCTTTATAAGGTTGACAAACATTGGCGCCGACAAGATATCCAAATCAGTCTCTTCTTCAATGACTCTGGCCGTAATTGTCAATGATATATAACTTGGCATGCCGGCATATCGGTAGATGATACTTTTACATTCATTCAGGAAGAATTCTCTCAAGTAGAATTTGTACTTGAGGTAGCCATAAAACTGAAATCAATTTATTATTTTGAGAAAATTATACATGAAATTTATTTGCATCCTAAAATCAGTGGATGAATAACGTATTTCAACTTGACCAATTCCGAATGAATTTCTAAAATGAGTAATTAAAACAAATTGCTGTATACAAACAAATTGTTGCTATTTTGAAGATATATACAAACTTCATTTTGATACCATTATTCTCTTTGGTTAAAACACATATGATTGTCAATCAAACCTCGTAATTTGAAGATATATAAATTGACTTCATTTTGATACAAATTTCATTATTCTCTTTGGTCTAAAACATGTTTCATATGATTGGAGATATTACTTATCAATAAAACCTCGTAATTCTGAAGAGAAATAAATTTATTTCATTTTGATACCAGTGTAATTATTCTATCTGGTCTAAAACTGGTTTCATATGATTGGTACGTATTAATGAACTGTTGGAATTTTGAAGACACCAGTTGCTTTATTTTATCTGATCTAAAACACGCTTTATATTATTTAAGACCTTATTTAAATGTATTGAGAAATTCAGGTACAAACTTTAAAAAAAAAATGAATACTTACATTAAAAACTTTCTCAATGCTGATTTTTTGTCTTACATTAACGGATATTCGAATAATTACTTTTCCCTTCACCGGTCCGCCAAATGAATATCTAAAATATAAAATATTCTATTAATGGAATTGGATAAAGCCCAAGAGATTTTCTGAATACGAGGTACACATTATATTTTACACTTAAACTATTAAAATGTGCATAAACAATCTTCAGATAATGGTTCATTTAATATTGACCGTTTCCGTATAAGGAAACATTTGCCAGCCAGCACTGCTTTCGGTTGAAATTTATAAAATCCTCAGGAAAACAGGTTTCTCAAGTCCAGTAGCTGTTATCGCTCTTTCTAGTAGCGATGGCGCTTTCCTTCCTAACCCTTTATTTGAAGTAGAGTTGAATGGTAACAACTTCATTTTTTAAATCATTTCACTCCAAGCAAAGTGACACAGCCATTAGTAAGCAGGCGGTTACAAGGATTGAAAGAGAGTGAGAAAACATTAGCGAGGAGGAAGGAAAAAAAGTACCATAAAGGAACAGGATTCTGGAACGCAGAAGATGGCGATTGACGTTGCATTTAAATTTTTTTAAGATTGTATTATGTAATTATTTTCTCTTTGAGTTGCATTATCTTTGCGTGAAACCTGGCTTGAGCCTTCCCAGTGAAATCGATTCTGCATAGGGTTGGTAGGCTCACCCTATCCTCCATCATGCGCAGGAAGTGCTCCATAAAGTATGGGCGAAAGCGGACAACCCCGATTAACCGACCGGGATAGCGCAAAGGCGAGGTAGATTTTTCCCGCAGTAGATTGCCATTTCTTTCTGCAGTAGACCAGTTGCCATCCAAGGCTATAGAACCCGGTTTGTCCTCCTATTTACCCATAGCTGAGGGAAGAAGAAGAGGATTCATACCTTTCCCAACGGTATTAGCACGTAAGTGAATGTAATGGATTCAAATGGAATTCAATCTCGGTTCTCCGATACCTCAATCCGAGTCGCCATTGCGCTCAAATTCACAAAGTTTAGGCACCATAGCCAAACGTGGTATTTATTTCCGCTTCAGTACAGAAAATGTGGCACAAAATGAGGAATGGGGAAAAGGACAGTCTTCTTCTGCCTTAACTTTAAACTTAGCTAGCCACAAACACTGACCTAAACATGCCACAATATTCCTAACACCGAAACAACACATTCTTACTTACCTTTCTTACTACATCCACCATAATACCACATTCTCTCTATGACAATCCTAACTAGACCCCATATGTACAATTCATTGTCTGTTTCTTTAATAAAATAACAATTAAAATACTTGCCCTAATGAGTATTTACAATATGAAAACAAAACTATTTACAAGAAACCAGATAAAATAGTGTTAGTAATAAAAAAAAAAAAACCAAAAAAAACCCCACAATCTCCAAATGTGGTAGAAACATCAGAAAAATCAATGCGGGACTATAATAATATAAAACATTCACTCATCCCAAGCACTCACACAAACACCCACTCATTCAGGCATAACAACAAATACGAAAAAAACAAAAAAAATAAAAAAAAAAAAAAAAAAAAAAAAACTCGAAACGAAAGGCGCCCTGCACCCATCAGGGAACTGACGGGCGAACAATTACCATTAAAATATTTATAGCAGAGGCACCAATGCTAAAACCTTCTTATTGAATTGCTATTGTGAAATCTTTATTCAATATAAACTATATCTGTACCATACCTTCCTTTCACGATAATGTTTATGTAACGGTTGGCTAGGTAAAAGGCTGGAAGTCCAAGATGACTAATGTATTTATCACCGCTCAGGGTAACTTTTATTGGCGGCAAAACTGAAAAGTAATTAAAAAAAAGTTAGTTAATACTTGTAAAATATATTTACGCGAATATAATGTCAGAGTCCAGTCTTGGCAGTGTTAAAAAATGATTACGCGGCGCCATGAAAATTAATTTACGCCTAACAATTCTTATCCCACAGACAAAACGTGGCTAGCCTCTTATCACTCTATCACAATTACTATGGCAAATATTCGAACGAGTTATATTTACCAGGTTCAGACGTTAACAACTAGGACCTGTAATTCCCTCCCTGTTCCTTTGGTAATGAGTAAGCTTTCCTGGAACTGTTACTTTCTGGAAGAGACTCCCTAGAGGATGCTTCCCTGAAGAATTCAGTCTTAAGGTATTAAAATACGTTTTAAACAACCCAACTGACTTTATTATCATTTATTATCGAAAATAAGCAACAATCAAATTAACGAGTGTAACTTTTAAACGACAAATATTTAAGAGAAGCACTATTCATATATAATAAATAATAATAGCTGGCCACTGGTATTCGAGTATACCCTTCTATTAAGGCGGCTATCCAACCCCTATTGCAGACGCTCGCTCAGGCACATTTGTGTTTGTTCATCACCCACAGAGACAAACAATGGTTTATACTACCACTATGCTGAAAAGTTACAGTTTCTGGGAAACAGCGTGTTATCAAGAATGATCAACAATCTGAACACATTCAAACCCTCGGTCATGATGACTTGTGATTCCGTGCTAGCACAGCTATTGACGGCACCCAAGGGTTCCGTCTACCCAATTTCACTCGCAAGGCTTGGGTCAACCCGTGGTATGGGTTTCAGACACTTACCGCTAGGATCACTCCTTCCAGACCGATAACATCAGGAAGTTTAATTCTTGACAAATCAACCGTGGTGAGATTCGAACCTGGGTCTTATGGTCAGAAAGCGAACGTTTCTAACGACTCGGCCACGTGGAAAAACAAATCAAAAACGCAAAGTGGCAATTGGCCAGATAATTAATCTGTTTAATTTGTTGTACTGATGAACCGGCGAGTACATGTACCTCAATTTTAGAGTTTTAAAAAATAAATTGAAATATTTATTATAGTAATCTTCGGAGAGTCCGGTTTATAACAACTAGTTTATATACACCCTTTAATTTTATACGTTTGGATTTTTTTTGGTGAAGTCAACCACTCGACAAAACGAAGATTTTCTTGTAACGTTTTTGGTAAAGCCAGTTTTCAGACAAATGACATCTTATTGTTGTAAACCAAATATATTTTCAAAAAAAGAACATTTTCACCTTGTATCAATTTTAATACAAGGATATTTAAACAAGTTAATTTTAATTAAAAATTTTAATTTTTAATTTTAATTAAAATTTAATTTTAAAATTTAAAATTTAATTAAAATTTAATTTTAATTTAAATTTTTAATTTAATTGTCAATTTTAATACAAGGATATTTAAACAAGTATTTTTAACATTTTTACCATACTGCTATCTGCAGCATGGTTGGGTCATCGATATCCCGAGGGTTTTATGGAGAGGAGGCTGACTAGACACTCAGCAGTATTAAAGACAAAACCTGTCGAAGGGTGGATGAATCTTCTCACAGGCTCAACGACCATCTGCACTGGGGTGACTGGTTATATACTTATGTATAGAGCCAGGTATATTTACCTGGGCGCCCCATCAAGGCTGGATGCGACAAAGGTCGTTTTAACGTGGAGAGCATCATACGCATACTTATGAATATGGGTCAAGGATAAAAATGTTTTTGAAGCGATCGCTGTCAGGCTGGCTTCAGTATTATACAGACCCAACCTCTTTAGTGCAATGAGGAAGGTACTGCTGCAAAGTTGGAATGCCCGGGGCTTAGCAAGTTATCCCATCTAAAATAAGGAGATTCTTAGCTTCACTTACAGCACAGGGGCCTTAACCACGACTGAGTAAACCTTCATTGGCTGACGTAGCGTTTCTCAACCGGGGTTCTCCGGAACCCTAAGATTCTGCAAAATGCCCCCAAGGGTTCCGCGACGACAGTTGAGATAAGCTAATGCACTTTTGACTTTTTATTTAATTTCATATACATAATATTAAACACACGCAATATATTCTTGGTTATTGTAATATTGTTATATAGACATCATCCTATCTAACCTTCTGTGAAAGAAGAGCGTCCTACTATTCATAGGAAGTAATTAATTTATTGTTGCAGTTTTTAACGTCTTACATGTGTGAGCAAGTCTTTTATTTAACAAGTATCAAGAGCAAAGATAGAAATCGTCTCCTCTCAGTTTAGAATGAAGTCTGTGTGCGTTTATCTAAAGTTCGGCCTCGAATTAAATATTTGTGTAGCAAAAGACAGGCACAGGTTTCACATTAGAGAATCATGTTTTACTTTATCAAATGGCTCTGAAAATAACATTTTCTTAGTCCATTTATTAGTTCACAGGACATTTTGCCTT